TGCGCCAAGACCGTAGCTCAGCGGTTTACCTCCCCTAAACACTATACCATCTGAGTGGCGCATGGAGAGGTATAAGAACACGCAGTCGGTGCTAATTTAAGATCACATGGCGAGGTATAAGAACACGTAGCCAAATTATGGTGAGATATCTAGGTTGATTGGAGGTTCTGTCTCGGGGGCCGCTATAATAAAGAAGTACGCAATTTTTGATGGAGTGTGAAATCTTATTGAATACATTTTTTATTATTATACTTATACTAGCGACACTCTCCGGCTTCGCACGAGTATAAAATATTAATGGATATTTTAACAATGAATCGCAGTTCATAATCTTTTTCTGAACTTACATACCTCACCTTAAATTACGATTTTTGAAAATAATTTCCCTAATATTAAATTGATTTAACTCTAAATTTTAACCAAGATCTTAATAGAAAATTCCAATCCATAAATTATGGTTTTATTTAATCTAATCTTATCTAACCTTATGTACTTATAATTACTATAAGTGCGATTTAAAAATTAAGCTACCTTAGAATAGAATATCATTTATATTTTAAAACTACTGTCATACAATTATTTATCGTAACTTATAATAACTGATACTGTTGTCGTTATATGAAGTAACTAACGATACGTTGTCGCGCTGAAAAACACGCTCGTTTTTATTAAGTATATTGTTATTTTGCTTTTCCTCGCTAGAGTGCTCCGATAATAAATGCGTCCGATCGCTGCTAAATTCAAAGTGCTATAGGGAGAACCGCGGCCTCCGACGCACTGCTATTTATAGGCACGCTCCCGCCGCCCCGGCCGGCCGGTACCGCCGCAAACGCTACGTCCTCGCAATTTTTAAATCTGTAGACCTTTTCAATGTGTACAATACTTAGTACATTATTTTGATAAATCTCGTAGGGTTCAGCCTGCGTTTGCAATGTAAGCGGAAGAAATGTAATTATTTACGACATCACATTATAAACCTAAAAAATAACAGTATTTCTCCACTATTTAATGGATGTTATTATACATATAAACCTTCCATTTCAATCACTCTATCTATTAAAAAAACCGCATCGAAATCCGTTGCGTAGTTTTAAAGATTTAAGCATACATAGGGATATAGGGACAGAGAAAGCGACTTTGTTTTATACTACGTAGGGATATATTTACATTCGATTATATATATACTTATATATATTTACATTCGATTACATATATTTGTATATTATTTATATATGTTTATCTACAATTCTGAAGAAAACATGTAATTATCAATTAATTTTTAATAATTGTATAAGTGTGCTTATTATTATTTCTTTATTGCATTATTTTTCTCTAAGTCTTCTTTATACCTTTCGTCGTTCGGGACAATTATATGCACACGATTCGCAAGCCAACGATTTTAGAAAACACTCTTTTACAACACTGATAGCCAAGCCAACAATCTCCAGCTATCGATGTCGAACGCAAGAATATTGTTGCGTTTTTCTTTTCTTCTGACACCAGTTGTTATGTTATTTTCTTCCTTCACGGTTGTACGGGGTTCGTGGATTTGGAGAATAACGACGACACTTGATGAAGCATCGAAACACACTTTATTTACCAATATTAATCAGGACAGCTTCAAAGTCACTTTTTAGAGTCGTCGAAGATCTACTATAAACACGCTGGAACAATCAGCGACACAGGTTATCACGGTGGAGACAGCTTCACTGCAAAGCATCAGAGTACAGCTCTCGACTCTGCTTGGTCGTTCTCGGAACTCCACGTACTCTCGAGACTCTCCACGCTACAACTCGCGATGCACTCGACGACACACAGAGCACAGCTCTCGACTTTTCGGTTAAGTCGTTCCCGGAGCTCAACACGCTCTCTCGACGATGCACTAACCACGATACATTACGAGACTCTTTCGGTGCACTCGACGACCCACTCGGCACTCGTTGCCCGGCTGTCAACTCGGTCCACTCCGCAGGGATTGACTCGCTAGACGAGACACCAACTCGATACTAACTATCTCGCCCTCTAGACAAGGCACACTCTCGATACTCACTGACTGCGGACCAGCAGGATTTATAAAGCTTCTGGCTTGTGTTCGAGAACATTCTGGGCTAAACCGGTAAGAATTCGTTACAGAAGATTCTCCATCCGTCTTTGGCATATCGCCAATTTTGTCGCCAAATGGGCGATTTCTCGCCAAATGGGGCACACTGCCTTCCCTTGCCATTTTATGGCAACCCTAAAACTGCTTTGCGGGGAAGCCATCTTACCGCGCCTGTACATTTCGTAACGATATTATTTTAGTGCAATAGTGAAAATGAATGTAATAAATGCATAATTATGTAACAGTTTTGCAGTATGATTTAATCTTGAGTTGCAATAAAAATTGCCTTTAAACTGAAACGTTTTATTTGAATCTTGGACTATGCAGAACAGGTAAAGAAAACTATCCAGCTGTACTATGGAAAACCTTGAAGAGAATCTGCTCCCGATAAAGGAAGAGATACCTTTATCGGCAGCATAATTTAAAGGCGATTTGTCACTGAAATGTATAGCTTCAACTGCAGAATTGCCTAATCTTTTAGTTGAGCAGAAAAATATCTAATCTTCCCTTAAATAGAGCTTCAGATAACGGAAATATCACAGTGAAGTTTTAAGTCTTACTTATTTGAAATGATCTCGAAGGAATCATTTGAGACATTAACTTTTCAGGTAATCCATGGTTAGCTCATTTTTTGAATAAAAGATGGTAAGCATTTAAGTGCATTTTTTTTTTAATTTGGTAGTGATTTGTAAGCTGTTAAACGAATGCATAATGTAGGGTTAATCAGGAATGTTTGTGCATGTTTGATAGCATCATACGAAGCCAATATTATGGTTAGGGTTGGAATACGATAGTGATAATGGAAATTAAAATTCTTAAAACTGATGAACGAGTTAGAAAATTTTGATCAGACTAGTTTATTGGCTCAAACTATTTGCTATTTCTAACACTTGCCTCAGTATCATTCCAGTCAGTAATCAGTCATTACCTATATTAAATTGAAACAAGACCATTTGCAATCCAAATACCAATGTTGCAACTGAAATTTGTTGCTGATCACTATCGCCATTTGGTTAATAATATAAACTCAGACACTTGATTATTATTCTGAAAGAAAATATGAAATATCAAACTTAATGTCCAGTTCAACATTTTTGTTTAAGTAACACAGTACATTTACTTCAAACATGCAGTTATATTTCTAACTCGCCATGTAGGTGAATTCAAAAAAACATGATGAAATATAATGTTACCGTAACAAAAACAGTAAATATAATATACTTTGATATAATATTCATGTAATAAGATTCAAAAATATATTTTAAGTAAAGGTAAATTAATGTTAGCTCTGTTACTTATAAATCTAATGCCAAGTACTTAAAATATATTTTTGAAATTTCTCATAGTTAATATGAGTAAAATTAACTTTATAAATTATATTAATTTTAAAACTTTCAAACAAATTTTACAGTACTACCACTAAGAGAAAAGATATATTCAACTTCCGTGTTTCATTAAGTTCTAATTAAGTGATATTTCACTTTCACAAACTGCTTCATTTGCTTTTCCTCCAACTGATCACTTGTATTTATACGATTTATAGGCAGTTCTGGTTTTATTGAATTTTCCAGTTTTGCAGTGTAAGCGAAAATTTAAGTTTGATTCCTGACCAGGAATTTGCAGAACGGAGCATGAAACGCATTTCGTAGTTACATAATTTCATCGAAGTTCAGAAAGTTGCAGTAAAATTCTGTCCTAGGAATTGAGCGTCCTGTGTTTTCCTTAGCATACGACGTTGCTCCATTATATTCTTATAATAAATTCTGATATTTAAAACGTCTAAAGTGGATATTGGTAATATAAGTCCGTATCAAACCATTTCTTAGAACTTCATTATTCTTTGAAAGTGATGCTTCAGAAGTATTCTGTGACGTCAAACTGCATCCAGGTTTCTTTCTTTTTGTTTATTCTTTCGGTCACATTTGTGTGCTTAATTTTTGGAACTTTTCATAGCAAATACGAAAATTGCTTTTGTTTCGTTTCTTAATAACCTTCAAAATTAATACCAAATAAATTTCTGTCGAACAAAATCTTCATCTTCTTCGAATACTTCTGAACTTTAGATTTAATTTTGTCCAATTAGTGCAAAAATTACTCAGTTGTTTTCATTTCAAGAATTTTAGGAGGAATCATATTCGTTTGCATATTGAAGAAGTATGAAATAATATTTCCTTCTGTTTCATACATCCCGTCTCTTGTCACTGATCATATGAGTAACAAGCGGGTATTTTTAATGGTATAACACACATTTCCTCCCCTTTTTTAACTCTAACATAGAAATGTGTACATATATTACAAAAAGTTAGGAAAAATACATAACTTCAGCAACCTGAGCGGAAAAATTACGAGGTAGCCCTCAAAAATGAGTCCGAAATTGTCAAAATCAAAGTGTTCATCCTTCTAGAGTTAATGAATAATTTGCATAGCATTTCATATCTTAATGGAAATTTAAAGTTTTAGTTCATTTTATATTTATATACTACGTAGTTGTACATGTGTTAAGCCTAAGCCTAACTTGTAAAATTGAAAAGTGTTTTCATTAGGTACTTAGCTAACCATACAACTTGATATTTTTAAAGTAACTAACATGTTTACTACGTTTGAAAACATAGTAAACATGTTAGTTACTTTAAAAATATGTATGTATTATGTATTTAAAATTGTATTATATTGTATTTGTACAATGAAAACAGCTCTATTATAGTTTTTTAGCGAGCGATAACTGTAAAAAAATTTCAGAAGTGTTATATTTCAGAAGTCTTCTTTTGTTGTAAAATTGTCTAAATATATGTTATCTCCAACTATCTAACACGTATAATACTGTATAGAACTGTTTTTATTATTCTTTTGCATTTAAAAAATATACTTGTTACTGTAATAATTTTTTACTACTTTACAGGAATATGTATAGACGCCAAAATCAAAATGAACTTCCTTGATGAATTGAAATGGATCGCCACGATACTAGGATTTAGAAGTTGCTTGGAAACAAATACAGTTCTGAGAACTTTCAGTTTATAAGATTTGTGCTACGTTCGAGATAAAACGAAATAAGAAGTTCTTTTTCCTGTGTACTTTATTTCTCATTAACGTTTAAAAGATAGATGCTTGAATTATTTTAGTATGTATCAAGAAGTTTATAGCGCGATATCGTAACAAGAAGAACTGTCATATAAAAAATGCTACCTCAGGTAATGATCCATAAAAACACAATTACTCAAAGTAACAAGCAAAAGAACGGAGCGGAAACGAACGTTATTTATGTTTTATCATGAATATTTGTTACGCGTTTAAGCACCGTGTAACAGCGGTGGAATCCAAGACAGACGCAGAAACAAAGAACATATAAATATGCTAAAAGAAGTTTTGAAGAGGATGCCTTATTATGCTTACGAAGAAAAGAATTTCGGAATACCTTGTGCTTCTTGCAAATGCATAAATAGTGCAAAATTGCGTGAAAACAATGTCAGGAAATGTGTTACTAATTCCAATTACATGCAATTATGCTTTCATTTCTTGTACTCTCATCCAAACGTGGTTTCGTCTTATTCAGTTGCCTAAGAAAAAATAGATTAGTGTCTTTTTAATCGAAGAAGAACAAGTATTTATATTTTCAATCACCGTGTAATGAAGTTTTTCTAAACTTCTTCTCAACAAAATTAAGCATATCAAAAATATGAAAATGACAGTTACTTAAAGTACTTTTCCGATATTTCTTATAATGAGAATCTCACAGACGTATTTGATAATACACTTCTGAAACAATTTGAGAAAAAAAGCCATTTTTGAGGTCAGCGCATTTTTCCGACTTCGTCATTTTCATAAATGAATTAGAATAGTAGGATAACGGGAAAAGTTTTCAATGAGTAAATGTGTTTTCCTAAAGATATTATAAATCATGCAAATGGAGGTGGGGAACACAAAGATGAATCGAGAAAAGGACGTAAAATACGATTTAAAACTCCCCGTAATGCGTTTTTCTAAATCCCCGCATCGAATCAACTGTTGAAATGGTAGGGAAATAATTTGAATAAATTGCCGTCTGAGGAAGTGAGGGCGTGAAGTTAGAAAAGAATGCTGTCCGGGGGATTTAATTGATTCGCTAAGTACCTTGGCCAACAGCCTTTGAGAATGAAAGCGTAATTTCTGAAGAATGCTGTTCGCCGTTTTGTTATTGATTGCGTGGGTGTTTGTTACGATCGGAGGTACAGCTCCTCTTTTCTCAGATAAGGAGGCCCACCTGAAAATTCCAATCCGTGATCTGCCGGTGCAGAATTCTGGAATAAGTCCGCTAATTTTTCGCAACTCTGATTCTATGATGCTGTCATCTCATCATGAGAAGGGGACTGCAGACCGGAAGCCGTTTAGAGGTAGTCTACCACTAGTAAATCCAGATGCTGGTAATGCGCCAAGAAGAGCTTTCACTGATCGAGGAGGTATGAATTCACCGTCTGAATTCCAGTCTTTTCACGACGTAGAAGACATTCCCACCCCAACGAATATGAATCGCTCTTTCCAGCATAATGGGGTGAATGGGGATAAGGTGACGCATCTGTCGCGCTCCGGAAGCCACAGGGATCTGCGCACGAAACTGCCGAGAAGAGGGTACGAGATGAGCACACTTGTATATGATGATGATCATTTCCATTACGAGACATCTTTCGCCGAGAAAACTGATTCTCTCAGAAATGATTCCACGGCGCATTCATTTACTCCCGACTCTAGAGATTCATCTTTAAATCATGAAAAAACGCAGGAAAGCAGCATGAAGAGTAAAACAGGAAGTGGGTTTAATATGACAACCGTACCTGATATACTAAATCACACTGATAAAACACCAACATCTTATAAAGCTGAGAGCTTGGAAGGAAAAAGAAATTCTTTTCAGACTGATTCCGTTACGGATATTAGTGAAACGAAATATTCTCAAAAAATGTTAGATCATAAACCTGTGAATAAATTAAAGTCAGGTGACAATTTTGATACTCCGAGTAAAATCTATGGACAGGCAGACACACTCATAAATATCGAGAAAGAGGATGAGAAACGTTATAGGAAAGAAACCATAAATACAACTCAAGCTGAGTTTATAGATCCTCAGATGCAACCGATAAAAGTAAATGCATTTAACAATAATGGGAATTCATCAATAGCCGTAAAGTCTACTAATGCATTTTTACTTCACAAACATAAACATCCAATAAATTCATCCAACACTGCAGTTTTAATGCATGATCAGCCGCGGGATAAAAACGTGAAAGATTTAAGCCAATTGCACATGCAGCAAGATGGCATTTACGAGATTGTTACATCTGCTACTGCAATGTTTTCAGACAATAGTGAAAATAGTAATGATGTTGATATGCTCCGCAACGAAGGTAGTAGAGAACAGCGCGGGTTTTCTTTAAAGTAAATCCAACAATTACAATGCAAGCTTCAGCAGTAACGACACATGACTCCCATATGAATGATCCACCATTTCGAGGGCCGAATATTCCACCAGAAATTAATCATTTTCTTAAAAATAAAGACAAAACCAAACTTGATTATCACAACATGGACCCTATTGTTGAAACACCATCCTTTCAACCTTTGAACCTGGATGCAGACTGGAAACAAGCAAAACAGCGTTGGGGAGTAGCTTGGGATTGTCACTGCTACATAGTGGGATCCTTGTTTTTAATTATTGCTATTTATTCTTTAATCAGTTTATTAAGAGTAAAAACATTTGTTACACTCTTGAGTACTGGTTACTACATAACAGTAAATTCAATAATTTTTGTAATGTGCTTATTAAGAGCACTTTATTTGTTATACGATCCTTATAATTTGACAGGAAAATATCCGACTGTAGTGTCACGGATACTTCTCAATGTAACTTTTCCATGCCTAACCTCGGGCTTCTCTATTTTAGTGCTATCTTTTCTTAATTCTACAAAAACGCAGTTTCTCTGGTCCAAATTTCAAAGACCATCCGTTTTATCTCTCATCATTATGTTTATATTTTCAATGTTTTTAACAGTGGAAGTAATAGTTCACGTTTTAGATGTATCAAATGTGCTCCTGATAGCGTGTCAGATCCTCCTTCTGTTGGGAGCAACTCTCTCTTCAGTTTGTTACTTTTTTACATTTAAAAAACTGCTTCACAGGGCTTTAAGAAAACAAGGTGAAATGATTCGACTCACCTTTACAAAACTTCACATCGATGGAGCTCAGTTGCCAAAAAAACTTCCAAAACCAACTCTTGGTCTTGCTGTTAAGCTAGTATTAGCAACCGCTGTACTTCAACTTATGTTATGCTCGATAATACCTTTTGGAATGATTTTCTTGCAAGGGCTCTTCATTGAACTGAAACGTCCAGACCCTTGGTTGTGGTGGGGTTATCACTTATCGTGCAGGATACTTGAACTAATGATGTGTGGCACAATGTCTTTCATTGCAACTCAGCCCCAAAAACATTTTGAAATTGGTGATAACCGATTTTGTAGTATACTCATGTGGTTTCCTTGTAGCACATTTGCTGATTGTTTTACCAAAGAAGAAGTAGTTGATTTTGAAGCTCACTCAGACAATTATGCCAATCCTCAAGGTCTTCGAAATACAGGATTTAACTTAACAGCAAATTCCAGACGTCTTCAGACGAATTCCTTACCTACGTTTCGGACACCTTTGAATGATGTTGATAATAATTTACCAATGCGAACTTTACCCTGCACTGGGAGGCATACAAACCACGCAAGTGCACTATCTCTTCTATCATACTATAGGTAAGTGCCAATATATTTTGTAACTTCAAATACCTATAATGCCATTTATGTATTATTCATATCTGAAATATATGAAGTTTAACTTTATAATCACTAAAATACATGCCAAGAATTAATTTATCATATAATAATAGTGTTATAATAAAATGCAATAAAGCAAGTCAGCTTTGAACCAATTTATGAAAAACATTTATCATCTTCAATAAGAAATTAATTATCTTTAATTACAAATGAAAAATATCCAATTGATAGTTGCTGTCATCTGAAGCTGATGAAGAAACAACAGAGAAAAAGTAAAAAGTATATAAGAGACATTTAAAGAGAGAACATTTTCAGTTTATTTCTTGTTTTCTTAAAACGTTTGTAATATTCGATTTTCACAAGCTCTAATGGTTGTTAATTGCGCTGTCATCTTTTTATTTTACAGAAGCTTTATGCAGGTGTTTGAGATATTGACAATGATATGTGAAATTATTATTAATATGTCACATGTATCACAGCATCAGTGTTTTAAGTCAGTCAAAGGCTTCTTCCCATTAATAAAACAAAAGAAAAAATTAACAAATGATTTTATTAAATGTCTTTCCTTAATTTATTATTACATTTTCTTTACATAATTTGAAATGTGTGGCAGTATAGCTCATTTGAAATGTCAGTAGAGTTTATTTGTTTGTTTATTTGTGCGTGAAATATAGTTTTAGATAGTCACTTTTGGATTTTTAGTATTTCCGGTTATTCACGCATGTCCCTACATAAACCATTAATTAATGTTGATAATCGGGAACTGAACTTTAAGCAGGAAGTACGGAATAATGCTAGCAGCGAATAGATAGTTATTTTGTAGAGTCATTAGGATTGTTGATGCTGGAGACATGAAAAATGTGCAGTGTCCTTGCCGGGACTCGCACCCTGGACCTCTTGAACACGCGTCCAGTATTACACTATGCTTCCAATGACACCATGAACATGCTTCCAATTATATGCTTCCAATGACACCATGAACATGCTTCCAATTACACCATGAAAGCATGCGCAGAGTTGGGAGAAAATACCTTATAAGCTTTTAGGCTAATTTCTTCCTTTTAAATTCGTTTTGAATTTGATATATTTTCATTTAATGTTATTACTTCACAAAGCTGTGATATCATTAAACTCGCCTTATATTCAACTATGTAGCTTAAGATTTTATCTTCAAAAGCGTATACTTACTCCTTTTGCGTTCTTCTAATCTTGTAATCTTGGACCTTTTGAGTCCTAGCATGAATAATGCTTTGCTGTGATAAAATTTTATGGTCTTCATCACTCTGGACTTTCTGCGTCTATCTATTGCCATAACTATCGTATGTAAGCTTATTTCCTAATTTAATGCTATATGACGTTCTATAATGAAGTTACTGTTTATGAGTTGCACAAAATGCCGAAATCAAGAAGCTGTATAAAATTATTTTGTTTCTATACTAATTTCACACAAATATTTCTATTCAGTACAATATAAAAATATTTAATATTTTGCATTTCAGTATATTCTCTATATGATCATTAAAAGAATAATGATAATTTGGGCTAAAATTAACAAAAAAGTAACTAAAATTAAAAGCGCAATATCATTATAAAATCAAGTACGATATTTTATTTCCATCAATATCAAGTAAATAATATTATTTACTGTATTTATATTGCATCATTTAGGCAGCTATTATTTTTGGCATTTCGGAGTAAGACACTCAAAACTAAAAACAAAGAGGACTGATTTTTGAAAACAATTTACTTTTTCTTCTTAAAATTTGATTATCTGAAGCAAGTTTTATATTTTAATGTGAAGTTACATAAAATGTTACATTTTAAAAAGAACCTTGTACTCAGAATTTGCGTTACAGGTTCTACTATAAGTGTCAGATGCTGTCAAAACTTTGTAGATAAGGGAAGTAAATCAGTTAATAAAAAATGAAAATCGCAATAAGAAAAAAATAGTTTCAGACTGAATGAATTTATCAGATGATATAGAATTCTATTCTAAATCTTCTCTTTTATTTATTAACTTAAAAACGGATACAATCATTGTAAAATGAAACAGAACATTTTGAAAAGTTTAGCTGCTAGTCAACCCTGATAGCAAAATTTATTCAATTTGAGAAGTGACTGCGGTTACAAATCTCATGCTTAAGCAGCATAAACTATCAAAAACATACTAATTCAGAAGTCAAACAACTAAAATCAGCGTTATATTTACAAAATTTTCACAGGACTAGTTTCGATGGTTTTACCAAACCACCATCCTCAGCTGCAAAACCGCAAATGGACGCAACATTTGCGGTTTTGCAGCTGAGGATGGTGGTTCGGTAAAACCATCGAAACTAGTCCTGTGAAAATTTTGTAAATATAACTCTGATTTTTGTTGTTTGACTTCTGAATTAGTATTTATTCGGCGTGTTATTGTGTCTTAATTATCAAAAACATGTTGTAGTATTTATCTTTATGATATTTCATTAGATGGTAATAATTTGTGTCAAAAATTTGCAATATTGCATTTAGAAAGAATTTGCAAAATCAGATTTATTTCACATACAGAAAAGAAAGTTCGTATTTTACAAATAAAAACCTTTCGAAGCTTTGCGTTCATAAAAGCTCCTAAACTTCCCTTAAAGCGTAGTTCCTACAAAAGGCACTATATCCTAATATTAAGTTCAAAGCTCTAAGGCTTCAGTTATAATAACAGGACTGTATCAATTTCGTATTATTTGATCAAGGAGTGCATTTTAAATGTTTCATTTTTAGGAGAAGATATATTTCAAAACAGCTAGATGTTTGTCATTTCTCCATTAGTGTCTCCATAACGTAATGTACTTAAATAATGTATGCCCACCATATAAATAAATAAAGCAAAACAAAATTTAAAAACATTATGTTATTACACTTTAAAGTCTATTTCCAATTTTAAATATTTTACTTTTTATTTAACAAAAGCAAAGCGTATGAAGTATAGTTGAACAATCCTTGCAAGAGAGAAGATTTAATTAGTTGTTAACGCTTCACAGAAAAGTACATGAGGTCTGTCTTCCTTAAGTTGCATGCCATTGTGAATAATATTTTAAGGGAAACTCTACCATTTTCAAGTCGTACATGGCAACTCCATGCTTTTTCGCTGATAATAAAATCCAATACGAACTACCAGTGATTAGCAATCTTATGTTTGTCTCTTCAACCACAGGTTAGCTGAGAAGAAGATATAAATTTACACTATGAGATGTACTAATTAATATGTAGAAATAATATATTTGAGAGCAACTAGCCTTTTGTTTAAAACAAATTTATCAAATAACTCATTGTTTCAATCATTGGTTTAAAATGCAAAGCAAATAAATTAATTACAAAAGATAATTCTAAATGTAATGAATTCTTCTAATTTAAATTAAAAATTAATTTAAAATAAAGTAAATTTTAAGAATCTGAATTTAAAAACATTGGCTGTATCAGTTTAATTTTATTTCAAATTTAAATCTTAAAAAAAATTATTCTGGCTTGGAAGAAGAAACACGGTTTCATTTGAAGTTTTTTTTTTTAATTTGTTCTTTCAATTGCCTTTCTTCCTCCATTATTTATATTTTTAAGAAAACTTTTATTTCAATTCTACAGCGAAATATAATTTTACTTTTACTTGCTCTATATTAGGTAATGAATTTGAATTAACTCCTTCTTTTGCGAGTGCGTACTTAAGTGTGCGTGCTTGCATTAGTGCGTGCTTGTATTAGTGCGTGCTTGTATTAGTGCGTGCGTCTGTGTGTACATACCTACATTAAACAAATTAAACTAAGAATGATAATAAAATTACTTTAATATTCGGTAACATGTGGTTATGTTTAGTAAGAGTAGGTTATCTTTATTGCAACCAATTTGGGAAAAAGCATTATTTTTTAGACCTTTTCCACATGGTATTTTTATTTATTGAAATTCAGATTCTTTTAATGAGCAGAAATTATTTTCTATACATTAAACAAATTTTAACTGCGTTTTAAAGTTTCCGTAAAAGAAGATAATTGACGAATTTTTTATGCGAATTAGTCCTTAATAAATTAAGTGGAATTAATCTACATTGTGGACTCTACAGCACACCGTTCATATTCTCCATATTCTAATTGTGTTCATTTTCTGATAGCAGTTGATTGCGAGTCTGTTTAATGCCTAAGTAATTACTGATTTTATTTAATGCACATATTTTCGTTAACTATTTTTAAATTATTTCTAGTTGATTCTATAGGAAAATAACTTTACTTTAAACAAAATTTGTGGGATTTACTCGAAAAAAATAACCTTTATATTTTACTATATTTTTATTCTTAAACTAGCAGGTATTGTAAACGGGTATTTTGCTAAACGAAATTATAGAAGATGAGGAAATGAGTTTAATTATCATACTATGAAATATAATTAATTCCACTCTAATAAAAAAAACCACATACTACTAAATGTTAAAAAACTACAAAAATACTAAAATTGTTTTAACTTCACTAAATACTAAAATAATATACCACATAAACTAACATTAATACTAAAATGGCTATACCACATAAGCTAAAATAAGTACTAAACACATATGGGGAATTTCTGTATATATCAACTGCACAACTTTCGTTGATTGCAATAATCACGTATAGATGAGTAATTTCGGTTTAGACGTCCAATCTCTTGCACTGCTAAATGGTGTGCCTGAAAACGAATAGGTAAAAATGTATGACTAGCTTTTCTTATAGAGAAAGAATTGGTCCTGAGGCCACAGCTACTGAGAAGAGAGTCTTGCAGTAAAATCTCTTGTAGTAACAAAAACTCTTATTTAAAATTCCGAAATATAGAGTTCAGTACTAAAACAAACAGTATTTTTATACATATGTAATGATTAGGTTTATTAACTCCCAGTTTTATTTTAGTGTAAAATGTTTTAATAAATGTGTCTTACAAAGTGTTGCTTGTCTATGTTATGCAATGTTATTGTAAATTTCATTGTT